CCTATCCTCTGCTTCTACTTCTTTGTGGAATAAAGTTCAGAGAAAATGAGTGAATGGAAACACCTTTTATTGTCTATACGTACCTCCTGTGGTCCTGACTATTGCTATTTATGAGAAGGTTCATATATCAGAGAAATCTTACATTCTCTGAAATATCCTAGCAACGAAAGTTGTAAATCAAAAATGATATATTGCCTAGGTTTTCAAATTAAAACAAGCTGAGCCAAAACTGAAAGCACGATTCCCATGGTACTGTCGAAACTGTATTATCCAGATTTCCAAAAGAACAGTCTATTTCAAGATCACATGTTTATAGATTCCTACTGAACTTAGTGTTTATCATAGAAGACAACTACATTTTCTTTTTGAAGTAGATAATAACATTAGGTAATAGTTATAAATTACAGTTCCAGGCACTGTGATACATAATTATGAAAACCTTAAAAAGTAGGTACTATTCTTATCTCCGTGAGACAACTAAAGGACAAAGTGGTTAAGAAATATTTTCAACCCATCAGCTAGAATGGTAGAACTGAGATTCAAGCCCAGATCTTTCTCAGTCTCAGAAGAATACTTTTACCACTTACACATACCACCTTAGCTACCCTATTGATAGGAATAACAGCATTATCTGAACTCTTTAGGAAACACCACTGGTATTATTTTTTTTTAATTTTGGAAGCTCTTTAACTCTTTTTATAAAGTGAGCTTAGATGATAATCAGTTAACTGAAATATTTGTATGTTACATACTTCAATTCAGGTAGGAATTTTTTTTTTAATTTCTCTCCTGACTCCCACCTTCACTATATTATCAACCTCCATTCCCTCCTTCCATTCTTTTGCACTTTTCTGCCCAAACCAGCTGCTGGATTTGCTCCTAAATTATGTGACTGCTTCCAGGTCTCTAGTAAAGCTGTATTATTTAATGAGCTACGTAAACATCTACTGTAATAGATTTGGAAATTTTTCAGGAAAAAAAAAGAGAGATTGGTAAACGATTTCATCCTGTATTCTTTTGTTTAGTTGAATGCTAATTAAAGTATGTTTTTAGTGTGATTGACTTTGTTCAGACTATTACACTTAGGAAGAGTTCTTTGAGACTCAAGCTTAAATTCATGCACACTTAAACTAAGGTAGTACACTATATTTTAGTCACTCTGAGCGTTTACAACCAAATGTATAAGATAAAAAGGGACAAGAGTCTACATTTCAACATGCCAGTTAAGGCACTAAAACAGCAAGACATTTATAGATTGTTGGAAAAGTATTAATCACGTTATTCCTCCATGGAAGACTAATGTTCAAAAGAAATTCTGAAGAATAAGAGTTTAACTCATTAACCATGCATGTAAACTTGATTCTCTAAGCTAATAAGCTCATGGCATTGATCAGTAGCCAACGGAGGGAGAAAAGCATCTAGCTGCTTAATTCTAAATCAGATTTTCAATAATTATATTGAAAATAAATTTGGGTTTAGGTAAATATGTATTTCTCTGAACTCAATGAAAGTATTTATTACATGTTTGATTATATTAATTTTATGCTTCTAACAAGAATTATAGAACTTTTACAATACAAGTGCTCTGAACAATTAAGTGAAACCTCTACATATCATGAATATGTTGTTTTAAAAATAAAAGGATATAATTAAAATCAGTGTTGACTGCAGAGATAATAACTGTGAACCACCAACTTGAAAAGGAAACCAATGAGCATGGGTTCCACTGATCATCTGCATGTAATTAGGAAATTTAAGCCAATTAGAATTAGAGTACTCAATTCAAACATTGTGATCCTGACAGCAAAGCACAATGCCTGAGTTGCATCTATTAAAGACTTAGGTTTTCTTTTTTGTTTGTTTGTTTGTTTTTCCAGTTTTATTGAGATATAATTGACATATAATACTGTATTAGTTTAAGGTGAACAACATAATGAATATACTGCAAAATGATTACCACAAGTTTAGTTAACATCCATCACCTCACACAAGTACATTTTCTTCCTTGTGATGAGAACTTTTAACATCTTCTCTCTTAGCAACGTTCAAATATACGATAACAGTATTGTTATCTATAGTCACCATGTTGTATATTATATCCCTAGAACTTATTTATCTTATATCTGGAAGTTCATACCTTTTGACCACATTTCCCCATTTCCCCACCCTTCATTCCCACCTCTGGCAATCATCAATCTGTTCTCTGTTCCTACCAGTTCCATATTTTTAGATTCCACATATAAGTCAGATCATAAAGTATTTGTCTTTCCCTGTCCAGCTTATTTCACTTAGTATAAGGACGCTGATGTTCATCCATGTTGTCTCAAATGGCAGGGTTTCCTTCTTTGTATGGCTGAATAGTATTCAATTGTATAATACACCACACTTTATTTATTCATTGATCCATGGACATTTAGGTTATTTCCATGTCTTTAAAGCCTTAAGTTTTCTGTTAGTATTTCCTATTATATCTAGTAAGCCTTTCTTAAAAAAGAACAGTTGGTGCTTATACACATATACTATTAAAACTCAATGAACTATAGTGCCTCTTTTGTGTCATTTATTATACATTAAAATTGGATGATCTTTATTTACATTATTTTATTTTCTTTATTTACATTTATTTATTTTATCTTCTTAAAAGGAATTAGTAGCAGTAGGAAGACTTCAAAGACTAATTTCAAATGATAAAAGAAATTTTACAGAATCTAGGTCATTTATGGATAATTTGATATGGAAGTAACTCACACAGAAACAAATTAAATTTTGCTTTCTTGGTTCCTCAAAGTGGAAAATTTCACCACATTTTTCATTAGTTTCTTTTCAATTTTTTTACTCACAAAGTTAAAACTTTTGAAAACTCTAAATATTCTTTTTAAAAAATAAAAACATTATTAGACTATAGAACAATACTACCAAAGCTCCAGAAGAAAGATTTGACCTCAAATCATCACTTGAATTTCATTCTACTCATACTTCTTTAATGAGCTTCAAGAGAGAGATGTTCACAAGATAGCCTATAGCCTACTCTCCAACCCTAAGCTAGAGGTTCCAAGCATCCTCTTTTTAGATGATGTTTGAGGGCTGAATAAAATAGAAAAGGATGCTCAGTGCCTAGTCTTTCCACAAAATCCATGATCATAGGGAGGGTATCTTCAAAGAAAAATATTCAAATTCCTACATTTAGGGTATAAACTAGCAATTCCAATGTAACAGATGAAGTAGGTGGTTGTGGTAGATATTACTTGTAATATTATTTACCTGTTAATTATTGTCAGTGATGAATGTGAAGCATATGTGTGTGCATAACTTTTTATATTTTACAAACAAATGGTACTAAGAGAAACCATAGTGGCACCATATCAACAAATTAACTTGCTTCTACTATTTATCTGACCATGCACTCATGGTCACAATATTCAGAACTCTGAGATTAGCCACTGAGGGTATATTTGGAAATGTGTAGCCCTACCCTTTTACACATACAGTTAAACCAGTTTTCCTCCTGTGTGCTTTACTCATACCATACACCAGAAAATGAATTTAAAACTACTACTCTTTAACAGCGGTTTTGAGACATGGTGTCAAGGCAGACTGATGTGTCATAGATTGTTACATGCAGTGATAACTTATGACTACTAGTAAAAAACTCAAGTTAAATCATCTGCCTGCTCTTCATATAAATTAAGGCATATTCACTGTTATTGCTCTAATACCATCATTCTTCTTAGTTGAATTCCTTTTGATTTCCTGATTGAGAGACAAAGGGGTATCCAATTCCATGTAATTCTGAGGGAATTCATGAGAGTGAACTCCACATATGAATAATCCTTAATGTGTATGTAACTGAAAAAAGAAAGATTGGTAACGGCTTCTGTATATATCCTTCTACGTGTGCATGAGAAAGACAAGAACTCATGTTCACGGAGAAAAGTGTCAAGGAAATGAAATTTGGACCTGGTGAATAAATATCATCTAGTTCAATGGAGGCAATGATAGTGTTCTCTCCCACCTCCGTGGTCCAAGAAGAATTGTTTTTTTCCTTTCTCATAGCATATAAATTCTGCATCAGTTTTTCCAGTATATAAAATGCTGTGTTAATATCTACCAGTAATTAACAGCCTTCCACTCCAAGTAGGTAATAAATGGGAGTGAATTTATTGTTTATGAGTATATCAATATTTTTTTAAAAACTATATGCTGGGATATAAAGGCAATGCTGAAGTGTAAAATTGCTAATGCAGGCTCATAGCCTAGAAAAAGATTTCTTTTAATAGTTCTCTTCATTTAACAGTTCTTCATTTGAATATATTCCCTTTCAACTACATGTTTTGTGGTTTGGTGCCGTGAAGGGGAAATTTATTCCTTTGACACATTTATTCTTTTAATAGTTTTACATTTGAAAAAGCTTCACCAGGTATCTATATATTTTGCAGTTTGCAGAGAGGTTCATTCTTGACAGTTTTTTAAAATGTTTATTCATTTAAATAGGTTCTCACTCCATGGAACTGTTGCTAAGATTTCTTTAAACTGGAGCCACCTGGGAGTTCTAGTAAAGCAGTAAGGCTAATGTCAACCTGTGGACTTTCCAGGGACTCTGCAAGCCCTGAAATCACAGAAGATTCACATCCTCAGGAAGAAGAAAACATGTAGGATGAAATTTAACTAACCATTAGCAGATGTCCTTGACTATAGTGTTAATTATGATTTGGACCTTAGTAACCACAGAGCATTTATACAATTGAACTAGTTTGGGGATGCAGTATGTGGCCATGAAAAATATATATCAAACTCCCCCACATATATTTGAAAGCAAGGTATTTGTCACAAACATTTTGTTTAATATTGAATAAGACCACTTTGACTTCCAAACACATTTTGATTTGTTTATTTGGGGATGTTACCCAACCAAAGTAGGGTTATGATGCATTCTTGGTGTAGGGACACTTAAATTGTACATCTATGTATTGTCCTCACTCTTGGCCCATTTTTAACGACAGTTCCAAAGACAACACCCACCAATGTAAGAGGAAGAAGTGGAAGAAGGCACGAGTTAGTCATCGCCTGGGAGGTAAGAAAGCCTACTCAGATGTCAGAACTTGTTGATTCCTTAAAAAAGAAAGTTACACATAGAGTATCAGTATTTGGTATAGAGTAACTGAGTAACTTCTGTTTAAAGGAGGTTAAGAAACACTTTGAGCATGTGTTACTCACATGAATATTTCCAAAATGAACTTTTCTCATTTTCATACCAAGTCTAAAGTGTGCTGTCCTGTCATATAGGCTGTCTCAGAATACAGTTTGAATGATTAAAACACATTCTCTCACAAATTACTTCAGATGTTTATTTGGCTTAGTTTGATATTTATTTACTTCACAATTGAATAGCACTCTTGACATATATGTAGGCTAAAACCATTGAGGTTTTCCTGGAGTAGTGACTGGTTATTTCATTTATCTCATACAACCATCCTATTAGTGGGGATAATTTTCCTTGTTTTACAAAATTATGAAACTGATGCACAGCTTGAGTACTTTCCTGAGAAGCAGTAGAATTGGGGCTTTGAATCCAAAACCCTTATTCTTTTGTGTCCCTCACTGTATGACCTCCAAAATTCCTTCTGTCAAAGGAAAGAAACTGGGGAGAAAGAGTGTGAGAGGTACATTTATTTTCCATAAAGCCACTTTCCTTCTTTAATGTTAACTTTATTATCAAATATAGCTAGGTGGCTAACAGAACAATGCGTTAGAATATGGAGATGGAAATAACTATTGGAGAAAACAACCAATCCCTGACCATCTCTAAGAACAATGATAGAATGGACAGAAACATATAGAAAAACTCCTTTCCCCAGTAAGAAATCTTCCATGAGCACATCCTCTGACCTGTTCTTCTGTTCATATGCCTCTTCTTCAATAAAACTTTATGCCTTGTTTTTGATTTCTGCAGAGGTATTAACTTCCCAATACCTGACCTTCACTGAGATCAAACCTCTCTAAACGGAATTGCCTTCCCTGTCAGTTTTATGTCTTAGTCAGCTGGGGCTGCTATAACAAAAATACTGTAGACTGGGTGGCTTATAAACAACAGAAATTTAATTCTCACAGTTCTGGATGCTGGAAGTCTAGTTCTGGAAGGCATTGGTGGATTCAGATCTGGCAAGGGCCTGCTTCCTGGTTCATAAAACATAATTTCTCACTATGTCCTCACGTGACAGAGGGGCAAGACAGATCTCTAGATTCTGTATTACAAGGTCAATAATCTGATTCATGAGTACTTCACCCTCATAGCCAAGTCACCTACCAAAAGCCCATCTCCTAGTACCATCACATTGTGTTAGGAATTCATCACATGAATTGTGGGGGAGGAAGGGGTATAAACATTTAGTCTATAGTACTTTGATATAATAGGCTTTGTCTCTTTTCCTCCACTCAATACATAGTTTTTTCTCAAATCAAAATTCAAAATAAGAAAATGTAGCAAAGGTTTATTGTGTGTCTATTTGTCAAACATTGTGCTAGGCAATGTCTGGTAACTGCTCCACTGACTAACTAGTTAATGACAATTACTGTTTTCTTTGGTGTGCAATTGATGCTCATTTAACAAATTTAAATGTAAGACATGGAGTACAAGTCTCTTGAAAAAATTCTGTATTCTAATTTTTTCATATGTTAGTAAAGCACAACAGTAATTGAGAAAAAACTAGAAGAAAAGTCTTACATTAATTTCACCAAGATTTTCTGTGCAAAGCCCTCTGCAGAGCATTACCAGTGACAAGATTTTCCCGACCACCAGACCATATGACAGTTTTCCCCAGCATATTACATTCTAGTGTGGAATCCAAGGACCTTTGTTTCATATACATGACTAGTTCGAGCAAATTTGTTTCACTTCAAGAGTTTTCAATACTCCTGATGCTTTTCTTAAATACCAACTGATACCATTTAATTTTTTAATCTTATACCTTTAAAGTCTTTTAAATTTCCAGTGACTGTCAAGCTATTTTTCTATGTTGGCTTCTAATGTAATATAAAGATTGGAGAGTCTCTATTGCTCTAGTTATCCATAATCTTTAAAAATTTAGATTGGAAAGAGTGGGGGTTTTGATGAATTATTTTCCTGATATTTAATTGCATTTTTCTTCTTTAGCCAGTATCGGAAGAGTTTCAGAATGGGGAAGGCTTTGGCTATATTGTGGCTTTCCGACCCAATGGAACACGTGGCTGGAAGGAGAAAATGGTGACATCTTCTGAAGCTTCAAAATTCATTTATCGAGATGAAAGTGTCCCTCCTCTTACTCCCTTTGAAGTGAAGGTTGGCGTTTATAACAATAAAGGAGATGGACCTTTCAGTCAAATTGTGGTCATATGTTCAGCTGAAGGAGGTCAGTTTTTTTCATGCTTATTATTTTCATTTAACATTTTAATATTTTATTTTGGTACATGAATGTGACACTATTGTAATATATTAGATAATACAGGTACACCAAAAGCAAAAATAAAACTTACCCATAGTCCTACTACACTTTTTAGTTATAGTTTTCCAAAATTTTTTCCAAATAATTTTTATTGAAAAAAACTGATCATTCCATATACTTTGCTTTATGTTCTTCACTCCCTGATGATGTATGGCAAATATCTTTCCATGACAATACAATATTAGTAATGCCTGTAGAATATTCTCTGGATGGATGGACATTTAACCATTCTTCTCTGTTTCACAATTTAGATCATTTTGTATTTTAACCTTATTCTAATTTAAATTTAGAAATTTAGATAACTTCTATTTTAGTTGAAAATTTTAACTTATGTGAAATAAATTTAAATAAAGACTCCAATAACTATTTATTACTAACCTCATACACAAAACAGCCGACTGATAAGTATCAGACAGGATTTTTTGTTTGAAGCTTTTCACACATGGTATTATTAAATCCTCACAACAATCTTGTCTAATAGGCTTTATTATCCCCATTGTAGAGAAAGAGAAATTGAAGTCCAGAAAAGTTAAGGAACTTGTTAAAAAAAAGTTAAATAGTTTCTAATTGAGAATTAAACCCAGTCCTTTCAATCATTAAATCCTTGATTTGTCTATAGCAACCTGACTTCATATGTATAACCTCATTTAATTCTCAGTATAAACCTACCAGGTAGGCAGGACCTAGGCAGGAAACCCATTTTACAGATCAGTAAACTGTAAATCTGAGACTTATTCATGGTTACAGTCAACAGGTGGTAGTGCTAGAGAACAAACTCAGTTTCCTACATCAAAATCCTTGGTTCTTTCAAATTTTAATACAAAAAATGTATTTTCTGAGTGAGAGAAAGCTTGATAGAGCTAACTCCCTAAAGTTAGCTTTTCTGCACAGTCCTTCTTCAATTCAAGTGCACAATTTCAATTGCCTCTGCAAGTAAGTAAAATGCCTTACAGTCCCTAAACCTGACAGAAGACTGAGCTAATGTTACACCAAAGGCAGCACACATTTGACCTTCCAAATAATTATTGTTTTCTCATAAACTGACCCTTTTACTTCCTTTGTGCCCACATGTGTGACTTGACTAGCTTAAGAGAATTACCAATCTTTTTGGTATGGGAAATTCATGGTGGGGGAAATAAGTAAGGTTGTTTGAATACTGAAGCACAAAGGTAGTGTCTAATTTATGTAAGATGTAGTTTTTCAGCACTAGCTGCCTTGTATTTTACGACATAGAGCCAAATTTTGAAGCAGAAGTAGAAAATTTTTCCTAGTATAAGAATGAACAGGAAAGTGAAGAATCAAGTAATAATAAGGAACCATAGGTATTCTGATGAGATATTCATGCACTTAGCATCTCAAGTTTCTGATGTTTTTTCAGATAGTATAGCCAGTCTCCACATTACTTATATTAACTCTTACAATCAAATATGAGGTAGGAATCTCAAGTTGCAATCTATTTTGCAGGAAACTGAGACTCAGAGAGGTTAAGTAACATGCTCAAATCAACCCAGTAAATAACAAAAGTTATAAGTAACTGTAGTAAGTGACAGGGCTGGAATTTAAACACAGGTCTGTATGACTCCAAAGCTAATGCTTTTAATCACTACCCTATACCTTCTCATCAGCAGTGTCTTTAACAATAATGTTTCATTATTGTATTATGTTAGTGTATATAATAATAATATTTTACATCATTTGTTACTCTGACATCTGTTTTGAACTACGTCTTATTCAGGAAGTGTATATTCTTGTGGTTTTAATTTATTTAACCTAACTATAAAGTGCATGGTCCCAAATGTCACATGAGATGAATTGGACAGATGTGTACATGCTTCGTATGGTAACACCAGTGTTGCCTTTAAGAAATCCAGATTTGTACATTCCTTGTCAACCTTTGCTTTAAAATTAAACTATAGCAGCCACCATGGGTTATTTATACTGTGTTTTCTTAAATTTGAAATGGCTTGCTTTTAGAGATTTCTCTTTTCAGCTAGATAGGAAATATGCATATTTTCTTTCAAAGACACCGGGGTTGTTGCTGTAACATATTTCACAGTAACACTTCATTTACTTTGGTGGACTGAAATATGAAAGATACCAGGCAAATTAAATCCAAATAGAGGGAGGAGCTTCAAGATGGAGGAGAATGAGACGTGGAGATCACCTTCCTCCCCACAAATGCATCAGAAATACATCTACATGTGGAACAACTCCTACAGAACACCTACTGAATGCTGGCAGAAGACCTCAGACCTCCCAAAGGCAAGAAACTCCCACGTAACTGGGTAGGGCAAAAGAAAAAAGAAAAAAACAAAGACAAAAGAATAGGGATTGGACCTTCACCTCTGGGAGGGAGCTGTGAAAGAGGAAAAGTTTCCACATGATAGGAAGCCTCTTCACTGGCAGAGATGGTGGGGGTGGTGGGGGGAACCTGCAGAGCCACACAGGAAAGCACAGCAATAGCAATGCAGAGGGCAAAGCAGATAGATTCCCACATAGAGGATCAGTGTCGACTGGCACTCACCAGCCCAAGAGACTTCTCTGCTCACCAGCTGGCCGGGTCAGGTGAGGGCAGGGCGCTGAGGCTTGGGCTTCAGAGGTCAGATCCCAGGGAGAGGACTGGGGTTGGCTGCATGAACACAGCCTGAAGGGGACTAATGTGCCACAGCTAGACAGGAAGGAGTCTGGAAAAAAGTCTGGACCTGCCTAAGAGGCAACAAGACCATTGTTTCGGGGTGCACAAGCAGAGGGGATTCAGAGCACCACCTGCCTAAACGAGCTCCAGAGACGGGCACAAGATGCGACTATCAGCACGGACGCCAGAGACGGGCATGAAACACTAAGGCTGCTGCTGCAGCCACCAAGAAGCCTGTGTGCAAGCACAGGTCACTATACACACCTCTCCTCCTGGGAGCCAGTGCAGCCTGCTACTGCCAGGGTCCCATGATCCAGGGACAACTTCCCCTGGAGAACACACAGCAGACCTCACGCTGTTGCAACGTCACACCACCCTCTGCCGTCACAGCCTCTCCCCGCATTCCATACCCCTCCCTCCCCCAGCCTGAGTGAGCCAGAGCCCCCTAATCATCTGCAACTTTAACCCTGTCCTGTCTGAACGAAGAAGAGATGCCTTCAGGTGACCTACATGCAGAGGCGGGACCAAATCCAAAGCTGAACCCCAGGAGCTGTGCGAACAAAGAAGAGAAAGGGAAATCTCTCCCAGAAGCCTCAAGAGCAGTGGATTAAATCTCCACAATCAACTTGATGTACCCTGCATCTCTGGAATACCTGAATAAACAATTATCTCAAAATTGAAGCGGTGGACTTTGGGAACAACTATATATATATATATATATATATATTTTTTTCCTTTTTCTCTTTTTGTGAGTGTGTATGTGTATGTTTCTTGGTGTGATTTTGTCTGTATAGCTTTGCTTTTACCATCCGTCCTAGAGTTCTATTTCTTCATTTTGTTTTGTTTTGTTTTGTTTTCCATTTAGTATAGTTTTTAGCACTTGTTATCATTGGTGGATTTGTTTTCTTGAATTGGTGGCTCTCTTCTTTCTTCCTTTCTTTTTTTAAATTACTTTTTAATTTCTTTTTATTTTTAATATTTTTTTATTTTAATAACTTTTATTCTATTATTTTTTCATTCTTTCTTTTTTTTTCTGAGCCATGTGGCTGACAAGGTCTTGGTGCTCTGGCCAGGTATCAGGCCTGTGCCTCTGAAGTGGGAAAGATGAGTGAAAAACAATGGTCCACCAGTGAGCTCCAGGCTCCATGTAATATCAAATACCCAAAGATCTCCCAGAGATCTCTATCTCAACACTAAGACCCAGCTCTACTCACCAACTAGCAAGCTACAGTCCTGGACACCCTATGCCAAACAACAAGCAAGACAGGAACACAACCCCACCCATTAGCAGAGAGGCAGCCTAAAATCATAATAAGGTCACAGACAACCCAAAACACACCAGCAGATGCAGTCCTGCCCACCAGAAAGACAAGATCCAGCCTCATCCTCCAGAACACAGGCACTAGGCCCTTCCCCCATGGAAGCCTACACAAACCCACTGAACCAACCTTAGCCACTGGGGACAGACATCAAAAACAATGGAAACTATGAACCTGCAGCCTACAAAAAGGAGACCACAAACACAGTAAGTTAAGCAAAATGAGAAGACAGAGAAACACACAGCAAATGAAGGAGCAAGGTAAAAACCCAACAGACCAACCAAATGAAGAGGACATAGAGAGTCTACCTGAAAAAGAATTCAGACTAATGATAGTAAAGATGATCCAAATTCTTGGAAATAGGAAGGAGAAAATACAAGAAATGATTAACAAGGAGCAAGAAGAACTAAAGAGCAAACAAACAATGATGAGCAACACAATAAATGAAATTAAAAATTTTCTAGAAGGAATCAATAGCAGAATAACGGAGGCAGCTGAACTGATAAGTGACCTGGAAGATAAAATAGTGGAAATCACTACTGCAGAGCAAAATAAACAAAAAAGAATGAAAATAATTGAGGACAGTCTCAGAGACCTCTGGAACAGGATTAAACACAACAACATTCGAATTATAGGGGTTCCAGAAGAAGAAGAGAAAAAGAAAGGGACTGAGAAAATATTTGAAGAGATTATAGTTGAAAATTTCCCTAATATGGGAAAGGAAAGATTCAATCAAGTCCAGGAAGCGCAGAGAGTCCCATAGAGGATAAATCCAAGGAGAAACATGCCAAGACACATACTGATCAAACTATCAAAAATTAAATACAAAAAAAAAAATTTTAAGCAACAAGGGAAAAAAAAATAACATACAAGGGAATCCACATAAGGTTAAAAGCTGATCTTTCAGCAGAAACTCTGTAAACCAGAAGGGAGTGGCAGGACATATTTAAAGT